GGGGCGCCCCATGGGCAGCCGCCTTCGGCCCCGCTCCCTTCCCGGTCCCGGCCCGGGTCCTGCGGGGCCAGCGTGCTCCCAGCGGCGGGGTGCTGTCCCGCGGGTTTAGTTCCAGTTGAGCGGGGTAGATTGCCTCTGCTTCTGTACTGCTGGTGCCTGCCTGTTGCACCCCTCTTGCGCTCGCTGCAGCTGGGTGGCTTTGCTGGTCGGGACGCAGGCTTTGGCCTGACCTGGGGTTGTGGGGTAGCAGGTACCGGGCCCAGCGCCTGTACGGCCCCCCCTGCCTTCCCCCAGAACCAGCAGTGCTGCTGGAGGGACATCTTCCCTGCGGCTTTGTGTCGAGTTTGTTTTCATCTGATGTGGCTGGTGTTCACAGGTCACGTCGGACTGCCTGTTGTCCTAGCAAACTCCATGTGAAGCCACTGGTGTTTTGTTGCAGAGTTAGTTCATCTAGCCGTCCGTGAGGTTTATTAGATTAACCTTCACAAATAGTGGAAGAAGTGGTTGAGCAGTTTCTGGACCTCAGCTTTTGGAAAAATAGCATAGTTGTGTTTGTACAGTGCTTCAGCTAATAATTCTGATGGATTCCAGCAAGTACTGCACTCACGAATTGGGCCATTCACACTCAGATAATGTGATTATGGACAATAGTTACTATGTATTAAAAATGATCAAAAAGCACTCCTCAAACTCCAGAGTTCATTGCATCCCAAAAGTTCAGGGTGAATAAAATGAGGAGCTTATTTTTGTGATACCTTTTGTCAGCAGGAGAGTTAGTATGCATTTTGAATTTTCTTAGAGGGAATTCTCTTGTAGTCACTGGAACTTGGATTCTAAGACTAGTGATTTGAAATCTTGACAGAAATACTGGAAACATGGAATTACACTGTAGACTTTTAAATAATGCCCAAAACAATCATATTTGGATTTCCTACATCAAACTTTGCATTTTTTTTATTATTATTATTTTTTTCCCCTGTGCTATTTAGTTCTTTAACTTATTTCATACCTTTTGGTAGGTTGTAGTGCTGCAGGCATTTGAACTGGTAGTACAACCAAAACCAGCCGTACCCTTACTTGTTAGTTGTGTATATGTGTGGCTGTGAAAAGATTGTTGACGCCAAATGTTGGGGCTTCATGTCATTTTCTTCCAAATCTGTGGTGGTTGCAGTGAAGGATCAGATGGTGTGTGTTTGTTTGTTTGTTTTAAAAAAGATTGCTACAGTCAGATAAAAGCAGGTCATGTGTGTACACTTTTGTGTAACTTCTGCCTCGCTTTTCTGTGATGATGCTGTGAGTGGGATGGATACACTTGAAAATGACCGCAAAAAGATGAGGTAGACGTGAGTTCACGTGAAGGGATATGGGACTGGTTTTGTTGCAACAGTGCACATGTAAAGTCACATTAAATTATGTTGTTAGTGGTATTTATTAAGTTCTAGGGACAAAATTAAGAGATTTAATAGGTAAGCATGCTTCTTCACAGGTCTAATGTAATGTTTTCCAACTTCTTTTTTAAAGAAACCGAAGAAGTTTTTAAAGTGAAGAAATCAAGTTACAGCAAAAAGATTGTAAAACAGTTGAAGAAAGAATACAAAGAAGATCTTGAAAAATCAAAAGTTAGAACAGAGGTCAATTCTCCAACAGATGGTAACTGCAAAACTAACAGTAACTTTTGTAATGGAAAAGATTAAGTATTGTAAATACAAGTTACTTGGCTTCAGGATGAATTGTCAGTCTTTTTAGAAGATTTAGCATTTAGAACTGAAGTAAAAGCATGCATTAAATGTGTTCATTTGAACGTTACAAATGCTGTTCTGAAGCTGGTAGAGAGTTCTTTGATTCTTTCTCATGTGGAAATGAATGTAGAAGTACGAAACTTCTCAGCTACATATACGGTTGTCAGTAGGCCTCAGTAGTTTCTGTATTTCAGCTCTGTTTATGTCAGATGAGTTTCTTCCTATTGAATTAGGAAGGAATTAAATTAGTTTAGAATTGTTTCTGGTGCTTATCTGACAGGATGTGTCCTTATAACGCATTTTCTCAAAAAGGAAGATTTTGGGGTGAGCAGAGTGGTGTTCTTTATTATTAAGTAAATTATTCAACAGTTGCCTGTTTCAGGACTTGGACCTTAGAGTAGACTTGATGATTAAGGTGGCAAGATGAAAGTGTTGGAGCAGAAGGCTCTTTAAACAACGTACAGTCCTCCAGAGTTTGGAACAGAGGCTAAGATTTCATTTCATTGCACTTCTGCTATTGTTTTTTCAGAAGCTTATTGGTAAAGCATAACGATTCCTTTTCCAGTTAGGTTTTTGAGTAGAGTAATAACCTACAGCGCTATGAGCACAAGCTGAGAAGCTTATGATCTCAAGATTGCAGTGGTATAGCTGAAGCTTACGAGAGTTGAACATGGTCCCATGCAGAAAATTGCCCTTTTTTAAGTTAGTTAAATTAGTCTTTTAAAAATCTTAAAGATTTTAAAAAGGCTTTCCCTGCATTTAAAAAAAATCCACAAATTCTTTCTTATTAGAATCTTTAAGTTGCCTCTGCAGTGGTATGGGGCATGATCAGAACCAGAAGCGATCATTTCTGTGGCTAATGTTCAGGTGATCTGTGGAAACCTGGATCTTAATTCTTGCTTCTGTCACAAAGATCCTTAAAAAAATGCATTTTGCACATGGCTAGTGTGTACTTATTTTCTGTTTGTCTGTTTTGCAGTCTCTGTAGTTGGTTTGATTATAGTGCAAAGACCTCATGGCTGCTACTGAGTCAGTAGTCCGGATTCTCTAAACAAATGCTAAAGTCTAAAAAACTCAGATGTGTACGGCTTGGGTTGGATAGCTGGATTTATCATGCATTTTTTTACATAATATTTGTACCTACTGCCTGTGTCTGTATGTTACCCACCTAATGTAGGGTAACGTTGCACCCAGCCCAAGAGGAAAATGAAAGGGTTATTTTGAAATGAGCCTGTTCTTGTGGAAAGATTTGGCGTAACACAGGCAATGCTTTATGTAAGAGGCTGTGTGAAGGTTACACATATGATCTTAATTATTGAGTTCCCTCACTTTTTTAATACTTGGCAATATGTAGAATATTCAGTGGTTGTTGGAGTGTCTGCTTTGTCAAATTTTATTTTGAGAGGATGTCAGTGACTTAATCACAATTAAGAAGGTGTATTTTACTAGAGCTCAAACAATAAAATTATAATTTAACATTTTAATTTGATCTTTACTTTTGGTTATTAGACCTTAAAAAAATACATCCGAGCAGTCTTTATAAAAAGATTAAAACATGGGCTTTGTTGTCTTACCAGTCGAAGCACCACTAGAAAAGACAGGACAGATTAAGGATATAGGTCAAGAAGATGGGACTGCAAACAGTGAGCATGGTGAAGAAGAAATGGAAGTTGAAAGCGAGAAGGAAGAAGAAAAACCAAAAGCCGGTGGGGCTTTTTCAAGTGCTCTGTCATCACTGAATGTTCTCCGCCCAGGTTGGTTATTGTAGTATGTCTGATATGTTAACAAATGCTTTAGCCAGCATTTACAGCAGCTTAATGTATTTGAGAGATTAGGAAATATTTTCCAGTAACATATCCAGCATCTGAGAATTCAGGAAACTGCTGTTTTCCAAAGCCGTTCAATTTTACAAGCTGTATGAGAGAAAATGTTTTACAACAGAATCCTTCATGTTGATGTCAAAAGCAGGAATTTGTCTCTCAAAGTGATGACAAACTGTAAGAAAGTCTAGATTTGGAATATGTGACTTAAAATGAGTTTTAACTGCTTTCAATTAAAATTCTGTCTTTAGTTTGAATGTCTCCGTTACCTTGCAGAGCTGTATCTCAAATGTTTTCCTATCTCATTTTGTCTAATGGGGTTCTAGTCAGGCCCTGAGGCCAAAGAAATCAGCCTGAGAAAGTATTTTGAAAACTAGTTTACTAATTGTTAGCTAACTCATGATAGCCTGCTCCCCAAATAGAATGATGGATGTCCTGGGTCGACAGACTTGACCATATTTCAAGGGAAAAAGAATTGCCTAGTTGACTTCCAAATCATTTTTCCTTTTAGGAGTAATTGCAAAGTGGTGCAATGTGTACATTATTGCATCTCTAAAGATATTGCTGGCTTGAATAGAGTATCTCATGTCAAGTATGAAGAGAATCTGAAATTTAACCTTTTGTGCATGCCTAATCAAAGTAGTGGTAAAAATTATTCATGTTTCAAAAAATTTATTTTGGGGGACCGTTCTTTATATCATGTAAAGTTGCATTAATTTTGTGCTAGGGATTTTAGATTTATTTAATTAGGCCTGCTTTTCTTCTTTCCCCTTGATTGTACAGTCTTCTCATATTAGCTTTGTCCGGTTTGGTGTCCTCTTAATCTCTGAGTTGTCATCATCTGTTGAAATGGCTGATATTTTTTTTTTGTTCCCTAAAATAAGAAGAGTGGGGAGCAATATCAGGACAGGAAGTGACACAGTCAAGAATCTCATTTTCTTCCTCCCTTTGCAATAGTCAGCTCCTGTAAAGGGCTTCCTCTTCTTCAGGAATATTTCCCATAGGAACATCAGGTTCCTGCTCTTATGGCATGTGAGCTGCTGGAAGCAGAGCCAGACTTTTTGGGAAAGATCCCAGCTTTGAGGGTTTCTGGACAGAAAGTTTGCATGCGTGGCTTATAAGTTGATTGTAAATGTTTGTGTGAGTATGGATTTTTTTCCTCTCACACTTTTTTCTGTTGGCAAAGATGATTTGGTAGGGTGGCAGGGATGTGTAGTAAGTCGTAATACCTGTTTTGTTGCAGTGGTTGTTTAATGGTGCAAACATCTGTCTCTAGGAGAAATTCCAGATGCTGCTTTTATTCATGCCGCTAGGAAAAAGCGTCAAATGGCTCGTGAACTTGGAGACTTTACTCCCGTTGACAGTGAACCAGGTAAAGGCCGCCTTGTTCGAGAAGATGAAAATGATGCCAGTGATGACGAAGATGATGACGAGAAGAGGAGGATAGTTTTTACAGTGAAGGAAAAATCCCAAAGGCAAAAGATTGCTGAGGAAATAGGTAAAACCTTTTTAGAAGGACAGCTGATAAACATTCATACTGTTATCACTGCAAGCACTCCCATTCAACGCTTTTAAACACCATGTTTTTCAAACAGGCATGAATGTGGAGTTGTATTCTATTTCTAAGGAAAAGTACTGCATAATGGAATCTGTATATAAAATTTTGAGCACAAACTATGTTCCTGTGCTTAGAAGCACACAACTCTACTGAATCTGGTAGAAACTTACAGTAAGGATCAATAAGTATTATTCCTGTACTTTGTTTTTTAGGAACTATATAGTTGTGTAAAGAAGAACATCAGTTCTTTGGTATAGCATTCTTCTTGCTGACAAGTGGGTAAAATAACCTTTTGGAAAAGGGGAATTAGTAAGATGTATAGGATTTTAACATTAGAGGGTTTTATCAGCAGTTAATTGCAAACTTACCCATTGGTTTTTTTAAGTGGAACCTCTGTGATAACAATTCACAGGCTAGCATCTTTAATTCCTCATGAAGAGGAAAGGAGGAGACACTGAGATGTTCCCACCGAAGCATGGTGTCTCGGGTTTTTGAACTTGCGGCCCTTACTATGAATACATTATCTTCTCCTTCTTGTTACCTGTCTGTTTTACTCGTATTAAGGTATTGAGGGAAGCGATGATGAAGCACTGGTGGCAGGGGAGCAAGATGAAGAACTCAGTAGATGGGAGCAAGAACAGATACGGAAAGGAATCAACATACCTCAGGCATGTATTTAGTTGTGAACTCTTTTTGGTTTGTTTCTGCGTATATTGGCTAAATCCATTACAAACTTGAGTAGTTTACAGAAGGCTGTTTCATCTGAGAAGTTCAGTGTGTAACTTCTGATATTCTTTAAAGAGAAACGAGAGGTCAGATTTTAAGTATCTGGTGCTATCCGTTTCATTAGTCTCTCTGTTCTGGGTAGATAGTGATTCTTTGTGGTGCTGTTAACCAGCATTTATTTGCAGCCTAAAACAGAGCTAGAATAATGCCACTTTGAAGAGACCTCTGTTCTTGTTTGTCATTGGGTTTGTAGAGTCTGTGTAAACAGTGTGTGTTTCTTTGTTGTTTCTGTGTCTTGTGTTGCAGCGTAGAGTTGGAATTTGTAGCAGGTTGTACCATATGTTGTCTGTGCATTCATAGTGCGGTTGCCACTCAGTTGAAGAGAATAGGTTGCTTTTAAAAAACATTTCAGCAAAATCGCAACCAAACACACCGACTCTAAGAACCTATGTCATTCTATTAAATAGTCTTGGCAAAATTTAGTATAGTCCCAAACACTTGGTTATTGTAGGAGTTCTAGACTGGTTAAAATTGTCATTTAATAACTTGTTATAAGTATAAATATTTAGAATAATAATGATACTAAGAGTTTGTCCATTTAATAAAGTGCTTCTGAGGGAATTTGTTTCTTCCACCTTAGGTGTTGGAAATTGTATGCTTAAATCCACTTGATAATTACATTTTGTAAATGTACCTGCCTACATTTTTCACTTATAACATTTGAGATGTGAAAGAAAATAAGTTTCTCCTTTCTTTGAAGTCTAATATGGTACAATTGCATTTCCTCTTCCATTAGGTTCAACCAAGTCAGCCTGCTGAAGTGAATAATCTGTACTACCAGAACACTTACCAGACACTGTCTTATGGTTCATCATATGGCATTCCATACACTTACGCTGCATATGGATCATCGGAAACCAAGTCTCAAAAAACAGATAATACAGTTCCTTTCAAAACTCCCAGTAATGAGATGACTCCTGTTACTATTGATTTGGTAAAGAAACAGCTTAAAGACAGGTAGGACAGACCATCTTTTTAGACTTAAAGACCTGTCCCCTAGCTTTCTGTTCCTCAGGCGTCTTTTAGTCTCGGTGAGCAAACACAGAGTTTCATCGCTGGAAAAGTACTGACTGGCACATCCATTAAAAAAAAAAAAAGGCAAACAAAAAAAGCTCAAAGTGAAGATGACATTGACACTTTGTTCGAAAATCTCCTTGGATTGCTTCTCTGGAAGTGAAGCTTTAAATGTGAGGCCATTGCTCTTGTTGAAGACAGGTCTGAGTTGCATCTTCCGGACACTGCACAGTCTTATAGTCAAGAATTGAAAGGCCAGTGAGGTGTTTAGCTTGTCAAGTTGCATTCTTTTAAACTGTGAATCAGATTTTTCCCCTTCAGTAGATGAAGAATTTAAATTTTAGTGTATACAGGGTTCGTTTTTTTTTTTTTGTTTGTTTAAACACTGTAATCTGCTCGTCAGGTACGCAAAAGGTCCTACTGAATAAACAACCCAATTGCAGTGAGAAATCATTTGTAATGAACAACTTGCACATTACATGTCTTCAAAATTGGTTTGTATGCCCCTTGAATCAAGGTAGTAGAGGAATAAGACTGCTTTGTATAAGCTATAGTTCTCTCCCCCTGCCCCAAAACCTTTCCTCCCGGTTTTACTTTAGGGCCAGCCTTGCACTATTCTAAGTGCTATCAACTCCTTGAAAAAATTGTGGGAGTGGGCAGTGCAATACACTTAGCATAGCCTAGAAAATTAATTCAAACCAATAGCCTTGCTGTTTATTTAGAGAGGGGAGAAAGTGACAAATGAAAGTTACAGAATATGTCTTTGCAGTATTTCCCATATATAGACTTGGTACTTGCACTGTCTGTTTAATATCTCAATGGTCTGAAATACACAGACTTTTGGATGTAAATTTGCTATTTATCCATTGCCCTTCAGGTTGGACTCTATGAAAGAATTGCACAAAGCTAATCGGCAGCAATATGAGAAACATCAGCAAAGCCGAGAGGACTCTACCAAGGCAATTGAAAGATTAGAAGGGTCTTCTGGGGGTATTGGTGAACAGTATAAGTTTTTGCAAGAAATGCGAGGGTATGTCCAAGACTTGCTTGAGTGTTTCAGTGAAAAGGTAAGGATGCAAAAACATTCATCTTTTTTCAAAAAAAAAAAAAAAAAAAAAGGGACTCTTAGTACATGCCAAACACCACATCTCCCTCTGTTTTCGAAAAAAGTTCCCTGAGAACATATTCTTCTAAAGGTTTGGTTATTTGAGGGTTGAAAAGATAACTTTTTGTCATGCTAAGGTGGTTATCAGAAACCTCTCTTTCATAGTGTAAGAGATCGCTGACTTTAGATTGCCTAAAAACACTTTTAGATTATATGTCTTTAGGATTTTGGTAGATATTCTGGCATTTCAACTTTACTCAGATGCTGCTTTTTACTTGCGTTGGATATCAGATTAACAAAAATAAGGGCTGAATTACAACATTGCTAGTTTCTGGAATGCTTTATGAACCCAGTAACAAAGAATTGTATTTTCTGTGTGGTTATAAACTTCCTCCTGCCAGGCAGTTTCACATACTTGGTATTGCTCTAGTGTCTGAAGGAGAAAAGTTTTAAAACTAGTGTAGCTGTCTGAAGACACCCAAACTTAAAAATATACTTCTTTCATGTAGTGTGATACTTTTGTATATGTCTAACTTGAAAACTTATTCTTTCTTATGTTATTCATTATGCTTTAATTACTTACTTTGTTGTAAATATAACAGGAGCTCCTGAACACATATGTATTTTTATTTTGATATATATATTACACACACAGAGGAGCTGTAAAATTCAGTTAGCAGTACGTAGGGTATTTCTTTGTTGTCTTCTGACTTGAATACAATAGTATAGTACCTTCTTAATACATTAGCTGTCAGAATTACTTGACTAGTTGAAGCTACTGCTTACCTAGCTTGCTCGGTGTGGGAGAGGAATATAAAAGCATTCTGGCTGCTCATCAGTTGGACATTAATTGTCCAGCATTAGTGGTATTGGGAGAGTCCCATCTTCAGTCTTGTAAGTTGAAGAATAGTTATGTCGTGAACTAACCCGAGAAGTGTGGACCAGTTAATTCACCCAGCTAATTGATTAGTTACAATAGGTATTGTTCACTGAAGCAGCAGTATTCCTGAGTCTGTACTGGCATTAGCTGTTGAGTGGTAGGAGAGGTCCTTTCCTTTGTAGCTCTGTAAGTGCTGGTTGCCCAGATGCCTACATTCTTACTTTTTATATTCTTTCTCTGAGATAAATTTGTGTTTCAGAAAACAAGTTCATGCCATCTTGTTCAAATATTTTCTTTAAACAGATTGTTTTAGAATGCACCATTCTGAGTATAAACCAAGCCTTTTAGTCCCCCAGACTTTGTATAAACCAGGAAAACTTACTGTTAAGTAATACTGTAACAATTTCAGTTCAGTTTGTAGGAACGTTATTGACCTTTCTAGTTACACTAGTAAATAAATCAATTCCAGCCGTTATACAGCAAATTAGCTACTGATAATTTAACAAACAGGCTTGTTAAAGTTGCTATCTTACAATATACTTTTGCTTTCCTGGTAGTTGATCTTTTAAGGATTCTACACCTGGACACCTTCTTCTCCCTTCCCACCCTCCCCATATCCCACCTGCCATGCCAGTCCATTGAACTTTTAAGATGGGATTTTTATCATCTCATGCTTCTTAGGGGCATTCACAGAGTTTTGCTGTTTTCAGTTGGAGGCTGCTGCAGTACCTGTATGTACAATGAGTTGCAAAATTAGGAGATGATGTGGTCAGTTTAACAGGAGCATTTCATTTATTATGATGTCCTGTATATTCCTCAGTTCTTTGGCCAGATAATCTGTTTTGGAATTCAGTGCTTTCAGCATGACAAAGGCACCATCAAATTCAAAAAACAGTAGCCTACAGGACACCACAAGGTTTTCTAAAAAGGAGGCAGGGGGAGGGGACAAAATAAAGTAATAAAATCAGTATCAGTTTTTATTTAAATGAAATAATGAAATGCAGCAGGACAGTAAATTCTCCTTATCATTTGAGTGTAGAGATAAATTGCCTTCAGTGTTTTTGTAGAACCTGTGGCCTTGACTACTTCATATTTAAATTGTGTATGTGTGTTTATAATGTACGTAGTTGTTATAATATACATAAGCATATAAAATGTGTATCCATATGTGTAATAACGATATTGTTTGTGTATATATGTGTGCGTGTATATATATATATATATGCATACATATATGAACACATATCCTAAATATGTATATAGCTAGGTCCCTCCCTGTCCTTTTGAATATGATGCTTCGATGCTTTCTCTTTATTTTGTTAGGACTAGTCATGGTTATTAGCCAAATTCACATTGGTACTGATCTGAATGATAAAGTCATTTGTTGAAGAAGCACTAATGGGTTCACAATATACTTGTCCACTCCAAAAGAGTCCATTCCCCTAGAGTTTTCTTGTATGTCTATTGACTTAGTTTTGGAGAACAGAAAACATCATCATAAATTAGACTTTCTTCCCCCTACCATCTTATTTCTGCACCTATTCACCATGTTCACCCCTTTGTGACACCCAATCAAGCAAAACCATTTTGTTTGTATTCCGTTTTGAAGAGATTCTGAATGTTAGAAACACTTTGCTCATTGGTAAGGTACAGTGGAGAGTATAATGAGGCAGCTATTATGCAAATTCTAGAAACAAGCTATAGAAATGTCAAATCCTCTGTGATTTTTTTCTTCCCATAAATGATAAAACCAATGGAGTGGAAGATGCTTGCATGACTTCTTTCAGAACTAATTACTGTCAAAATTATGATTTCTGAGAAGGCTAGAAAGTGGTAACAGTGTCTTTACATTTTGAATGTAGGAATATGCAAGGGATACAGAAAGATTAAATTGTTCCAAGCATATCTTTGACAGCACAGTTGAATGAACTGTTATTTTACCTGCAAAAGCAAATTATCAAAACACACTGTGTGTGTCAGAGAGGGGGACTGTAGGTTAAAATTATCCTTGTCATCTAAATGTTCAGAGCGCTTTCCACTTTTCCTCTTATGCTGTTTACAGTGAAAGTAAAGAAAAAAAACCCAAAACACTGAATTCAAGGTATTGACTAAACAAAACACAATGAATGAGGGCTGTAACTTTATAGTAGTCAGTGAAATTGTCAGTCACTCATCAACCACAGTATTGATTATAGAAGAATAATGGCTTCTAAGTCTCTTGTGTTTTAAATGGGAAATATTTTGAGTGGATTCATATATCTGAATACATAGCTGGGTTTTTTTAATCCTGAGGCAATTATAGAAAGAACCTCTAGGGATGCTCCGAAAATTTTTCATTTAGCTTTTCAGTTTTAGAATTCCCTTTACACATAAGAGAACCAGCTATATTTTCTGTGGTAAACTGCAGTAAAACTAGGGGTTTTTTTAAATTATTATTTCTGTTTTCAAAATTGTCTTAAATTCCGAATATACACTGCCAGCGCTGGAATATTCCCTCCTCCTGTGTCTCTACTCTGTTTTCTCCAAAAGAAAGCTGTACGTATTTTGAGTTGGTGCAGAGTTGCTTTCATTTTAGTCCCGGTAGCCTAGTTTATATCACAAAGAGCTAATACTTCTTTCCTTTTAATATCTCCTCTGATGCGTGTGTCATTCTCAGACAGCGGAAATGGCCCTGTAGCTATAATCTCACAATCTTATATTTTACTGGAGGAGATTCTTTAATAGCTGCTGAGTCACATTCTGAATGACATCAGGAAACAATTTCTGATTCTGTCTTTTGTTTTGAAAAAAACTTAATCCTGGATGGTAGGCAGCAATGAAATATTTGAGGTAAAAGGCTGGAAGACTGTGGACTAAGCATATGTCTCAGAGGTAAGGAGGATATGGCTTAAGTGTTCATACCAAAAGGATTTGCCTTTCCAAATTAAGAGATTGTGAAAAGTTTTGTTTTGCATTTGAATAATCTAATCTTAACTTGTCCTGGGAAATGAGTTTTTGCAAAAGTGAGCAGTGAATCTGATATTTAATGTCAGGAAATTCCCAGTTGTTATAACATCATCTATTTTTGTTACAGTTGCTACTGAAATTTAGTTCACTTAAAAAAAAAAGTCAGCAGATCTGATCCAACTTGTCTGTATTGTTCAAAGGTTATACTTAATGCATAACTCACACAAACTGTACAATTTTAATTTAAATGATAGGCTAGAGTAACATTTTACTAATTTGAATTACCTATTGGTAGAACATGCTTATGCAGTGGTTGATTGAATTTCAGTAATGATATTTCAGCATATGCTAATAAAAGTTATAGCAAAACAATACCTGCTAGCTTCAGGAGGTTAGATTCCTGCTTTGTTTTTTCACTGTATACAGTCAGGTTACTTTCTCCTTAAAGTGTAGAATACTACTACGTTCTTGTTTAAAGATAGAGAGGAAACGATGAGGTCTGAGAATTGTAAGCACTATAACACAACACGTAGCACACTTGGTAGAGAAAACAGAATACTTGAAATAACATTTCACACTCTAAAATGGTTGTCTTACTGTGTAGACTCAGTCAGCAGAAGTTACTTTCAGAATGCTATTGCTATGGTTGAAAGCTGTCAACGTTGTTAAATGCATGCATTTTCTTCATGTTGAAATATTTACTGGTCCAAATGATACAAATGGGTAAAAGGAAACAGTTTGTGCTGCTAGAAGTACAGTGACAGCATTATGCTTCGGAATAGTATGGTACCCCAGAAGCTAAGCACCTGAAGAATTTGTTATTACGTAGTGTGTTGTATTTTTACAGGTGCCTCTGATTAACGAACTTGAATCCGCAATGCACCAGCTGTACAAACAGCGAGCTTCCCGCCTTGTCCAAAGACGACAAGATGATATTAAAGATGAATCTTCGGAGTTTTCAAGCCATTCAAGTCAGTCCATCTTGAAGGTTTTTATTATTCATTAAACAACCTTGTTTACTTAGTATGGCTTAATTTAAATTTAAATTTTTAAAGTCTGACTGTCTTAAAGTGTATCCTTACTCCTGAGATAGATAGAAGCAAGTTTAGATAAAAGTTTTCTAATTTGTTTTGTTTTAAACTCAAAGCCACTCTAACTCTGACTTCATCTCTCCTTTCTGTTGCTCTTAACTGTATTTTCTCTTTCCCAGCCCTGAAAATGTATGCATGGTGGCAGTGGTAGTAGTGGTAGCATGACTCCTGATTTTCCTCTTATGTCAGGGCTTTTTTTTTTTTTTTTTTTTTGCTTCTTAACCTACTTGAATCTATAAATTTCCTGTAGCATCTACAGTTAACTCTGTACAAAGCCATGAAGCACTGGGCTAGAGCTGACTTCTATCTAATGCTCTATTTTGTAGGCAGCATAAGTATTTCATTTCAGATGCTTAACTGGTAAAGCTAAAGAACTGGAAGAAACTGGTGCCATTGTTAAAAATCAGACTAATACAAAGTGACCCTATATGAAATACAGCTTAAAATTAGCTGGTTAAAATACCTACTTACTGTGAGCGTGTCGTTGGGGGATTCTCATTGAGGAGTTTTCTTGTGGTGATTACTCTTCAGTATGTAAAACTCTACAAAAGTATAAATGTTAACTTGGATGGAAATATATGTTCCTTGGAGGAGGTTTTATTCAGCACGTTAAACAACGGGTAAAATACCATATTAATAGTAGTTGTCTTTCTGCTTTGGAGAGCTTCCCATTTTTAAAAATGGCTTTCTTGTCTGTCCTGTTGCTGACCTAACATCCTATAATAAAAGCCATTTCCTATTCTGTCACAGTGTGTCCAGCAATTAAATTTTGTTAATACCATTAGATAGAACTTACTGAGGGTGATAAAGTGTTAGGGCATCAGAGTTGGTCATCCCTTTATGGAGTGGTTAGCATACATATTCCCTTTAGGACTTTATTTGGAGCCCCAGGCATCACATGTAGGCCTTGAGTTTTACCATGAAAATGCTGTTGTGAGAACTAGAAACCTAATGTACTAAAACATATTTCCTTAAAGAAGCTCAGAATGGATTATTTTAGACTGGAATGTAATGGTGGGGTGGGAATAGTTGTCATTGTCAAGGCTGGGTTTTAAAGAGAGATCGTATTTAGTATCTGGGAGTCTTGAGAATGAATTCCACTGTGTCTAGAAATAGTTCAGCTCTGTCCCTCAAATTATCACAGAAACTAGGAATTGATGCCAGCCTTTGATTTGATGTGTGTTGCGGACATAGATGATCTGCTTTTCTTCATACAATGTCAGAACACTAAAGGGCTAGATGTGAATTTGTCTGCCAACTATTGCTTTACTTCTGTGTAAAAACAAGTAGCTCAGCTTTGAATAACGTTTTAAAAAATTGGACAAATGATGGCTTCATCTGTATGTTAAGGCTCTTAGTAGTTCTGGTATAGAGTTGGAATACTGACACAGATCATCATTAATATTTTTAATGATGGATTTATAAATAGATTTAGTTAGAACATGTAAATTTACTCATGAAATTTGGGTAGGCTTTTGTTTAAATTTTGATGTTTATATTTTGGTGGGTGGACTTGAGCAGTGGCTAACATTCAATCCACTTAATAAAATTTACCTGAAAAGGATGAACTGGAAGCACTCTTTTGTCTGCCTGCTGGTTGCTGATCAGCTTCACTGGTTAGCTGCGTTGTTTTCTATAATCAGGAACATCTATAACGAATCACGGCTTAAAAAGAGGAGGGAGGATGATTTATTTTCCTGTAGATTTGATGTGTTTTAAACTCTAGGCAATCTAAAGCATATAAACTTAGAAAACACTATGATGAGAACTCTGAAATATCGGGTGTTCCTACTCTGGTCACTCTTCTCTGCCTTTCTTTTTGTTCATTTTCTTCTCAAAAGATACATGGTGAACGTGTTTATGTAAGGAGCGCTTTTTGTCTTGGAACATTCAATTTAAGCAGTTTTTATTAAAACTGTTGACTTCTATATAGTTGGGCACCGTTGTGAGAGGGACAAGAGTGAAGTATGGTGAAAACTATTTGACATTTAAGTGGAGATTTTTCCAAACTCCACTACTTCCTCTTTTAACCTCTACACTTGCAAATTCAGGCTTCTGGGTGCATCTTTTTGAAAACTTCGACTTTCTACTTCAAATTACACTTAATTTAAAGTAGGTAAAAGTCTCTTATGAAACTGCCTACAACACATTTATATAATCATGGATAAGCATTTTAATTTTCATCAATGTAATTTTACAGATAAAGCACTGATGGCACCAAATCTTGAATCTTTTGGACGAGACAGAGTGATCTATCAAGAACAAGTCAAGCGTCGGACTGCAGAAAGAGAGGCTAGAAGGTAGAGTACTGAGATTTCTTGTCCATTAGGAGTCTTTGCTTGCAGAATACAGTTGTTCTGTGTGACATACTAATGTAAGTAGCAATGTTTGCTCCTTTCCTGCAAAGGGAAGAAAACACTTAAGCTCATATGCTGGGCAGGGGTATTCTTATATATCCCAACTTATCATGCGAGTGTACAAAACAAGGCACCGTTACATGATACTGATTTAAAATCACTAAAAGAAAGCATCGTAAACCTATTCCGTATCCATATGGTCTGTGCTGGTTTCTCTTCCCTCCATTGTTTGAGGCAGCAACATAATGGAATGTTTGAGATGATGACATAGTGAAAGTTTTTTTCAACCTGGATTTCCTTGCATTAAAACTTATGACAAGCTTAGGCAGATCTGTTCATTGTATAGGGGGGGAAAATGTAATAGCTGGTTTATACTGCTGATCCTTTTCAGAGCTCGTCGTAGACAAGCAAGAGAGCAAACTGGGAAGATGGCAGATCACCTTGAAGGCCTTTCCAGTGATGATGAGGAAACTTCAACGGATATTACAAACTTCAACATGGAGCGAGGTTAGAAAAGCTACTGAAGCTTTATGTAACAGAAACCAGAACATTTGTCAGAGAAAAAAAAAATGCTCCAAAGGCAGCCCTGTCTGTATATTTCACCATATTTTGGAGAAAGTTTAAGAACTGTTCCTTGCTGGATCATCAGTGTGACCAAAACAGTCTCTTCTGCCAACCTGTTGTGCAGCTTGCAGCTGACTAAATACCCCCATCCTTAGCGAGATTCTTTTTATTTAATTCAGACATTCTTTTGTTGGCAAGAAGTAAGCTTTTGTACCTTCAGTGGACGCTAAGTCTGCCTTCTAATCTGTTTATCGCTCTTCAAATATCTGTTTGGTTTACATGTGAAATTCTGAAAACCTCAGTGTTTTAGAAATGTTTTTTTTGTTTGATAGGAAGTATTTTCTGGAGTTTTGCGTAAGCATCTAGAAATGCAATGACAAGAGTTCTGTAGACTCTTGTTACAGCCTGGCAAACTTTGCAGATGACAGAAAACAATGTTGAATGCAAACGTTGCAGAAAGATCTTGTGGTACTGACTTGATTTGAAATTCATCTGCAGTTTTATGATGGTTTGCTCGAAGTAACCATTATTATGCAATTATGCATAACCCTAATTATGCAATAAATGGAGATGTAAGTTAAGCTAATGCTTTTAAAGCACTGGGAGAACTGCAAGAAACCTGAGATTTTGGGAAGCATGGATAGTTTGATGGAACAGTCATCTTTTACAGCAGCAGTTAAAAGGCAAAGAATTCCTGTGGTTACTGTGAAACCAGTAGCGAAGAAAGCAGAACATCACTGTAGTAATCCTGTTACATTCTCATTTTGAACCTAAGTACAATTATCATTCTCTCTGATTAAAGATAATTTAATCAGATTAGAAGAAACATGGAGAAGGGGAGCAGCAAGGACGACATATATAGAATTGCTTATGTTGTATGTGAGGAGGGATTAAACAGTTTTGGACTCTTCATCTAGGAGAATCATGTTGACTTTTCGCAGTATGAGAGCTAGGGGGCATGAAATGAAGTGATAGGATAGGTTTAAAGTAAACAAGTCACTTCCCACAGAGAGTGTAATAAAAATGCCAAAGTCATTGGTGTAGGTGGTTGTGGAGACCCAAAGTATGAACAGAGTAAAAAAGCAATTAGATGAACTGTGTAGCAGTTGGATCCTTCAGAAGTGCAAACAATTTCCACACCTTTAGTTGCTGGCTGATTTACCAAAATTGTGGATGCAGGGAGGGCTCTTTGATAAACAAAGCAACTGTTTACGGTCGTTATGTGCTGTAATTAACTTTACTAAGTTAAATTATCTAGATAAAAAATTCAGTGTAGCTGAATTGCTCTTTGTAACTTGGCACTTTTATGTGTACAAAAGCCTTTTGGAGGAGTTTCATCAGTTTCTAAGTAAGCACAGTATTTCTAAAGCCTTTTTTTAATCATTCATAGCTTTCGTGTTAGTCCAGAATCAGCAGTGAGCTATATGGAACAGAAGGATGCACTTTGGAGCTGCTAACTTTATTTGTAGCATCTCTTCTTGATCCCAGTGTGCAAAGTGTGTTTATATGACATAATCTCGTGTTCCCTCAGCCTTGTCTCTACCTGCTGTGTGTACTAGTTATGTTAGTTGTGTACAGGTTACTACTGTAACTGAACATTTGAAACTGTGGCTGCAGCAGAAATGACTGATTAAAATGAAACTAACCCTGGGAAGTAGAAAAGATGAAGGGAAAATAATATATAGAGAAAAAGTTTTGGACTGCATAGAATACTGGTACTGTAAATATTAAAAAATGTAAGGAAGGTGCTAAGGGCTTGTAATGGTTGCCCAGTGCTAACAGCCATGTTACGTTCAGCAGTTTAGCATGGTGTCTGTCAGGACCCACTCTGTCTGAAATGCCGATTCGTTTGCCTTATCTGAGACGCCCTCCTGTACTTGCACTTGGATGAGCGAAGTTGTAAAATAATTTGGGTTGGAAGGGACCTGGACATCAGCTGTTCCAAACTTCCATGCAGAGCAAGGCCAGCTTTGAAGTTAGATCTACACTAAACACAGCCCAGTACTTGACCAGTCCAATGTCTGGTAACTGAAAGTCATTGTCGGAAACGTTTAAAGCAAGACCTGTGATAAAACAGTACATTGGAGAGTGCTCATGTGCTCATGTTTTTATTGCTTTGTATATTTGAGGCAGAAGTAACAGAACTTTTAAAGGTGGTGGGTTTTTGGTTTTGTTTATAGTAGTTAGCTTATGCCAGTGAGCATCAAAATCCATCTTGAAAAAGGTATTACAGGGAATAGGTGATAAACTTATTACCCTTTTTCTCCCTCCACCAGATCGTATATTGAAAGAATCCAGCAAAGTTTTCGAAGATGTTTTGGAAAGCTTTTACTCAATTGATTGTATTAAGTCACAGTTTGAAGCTTGGCGCTCAAAGTACTTTGCTTCTTATAAGGATGCTTATATTGGCCTCTGTTTACCAAAGCTGTTTAACCCTTTAATCAGACTTCAGCTGCTTATCTGGACTCCTTTGGAGGTAAGAGCCTCTGCAAGCATCTTCTTCTATGTCAGCTTCTATATAGTGGATCTTTTGCACTTCTGCAGAGCAAAGTAAATTGCACCTTTGATGTACGCTTCTTGTAAATGCATGTTCTAGGCATGTAGTTTAAAATGGGAGTCTCTCTTGGGGTGAAGCTTTTCTGGGGAGTTTCTGGACTCCCCTGTGTCACACACTCATCACGCTACCCCTGTCACACACTCCTCTGTGTTCCCAGCAGGCCAGAGTTCAGTTCAGCACGTGCCAGTACCTTCTCAGTGAGTGGTGTAGACCAAAAAGCCAAACAGCTTCTTAAATAATACATTTAGGTTTTAAAATACTTCAGAGAAAATTGTGATTCTAGAGATGTTGTTTCTTCAGAAGTGGAGCTAAAAAGCCTGGTTTTATGTTGACTTACAACCTATGTCTCTACATTATACGACTTATTTTCTCTCACCTACACCTTCATACACTGTAGAACTCTGGCTGGCAGTTTCCAAGTCTTCCTCATAGTACTCATTGCCCAGTTATTAGGTAGGGAACATGGGAAAAGCAGGACAGCACTGTTGCAGCCCGGTATCCCTGGCACATGTTCGTTATCCAGCCTGCGTATATGTGCTGACATGAGTAGCCATCAGGACAAACAGTTCAGGCAGCTTTTGACTCACACTCTCTTCTTCCTACCAGTGAAAGCTCTTGTAAGGTATTTCTGCTGCAGTCAGGTGCTTATTTTCACAGTACTGGTAGGAACTTACTTTTTTCTGTGATGTTGGCTTTTACTGGGGAATGGGAGTGGGTCAAGGCACAGAGTGAGTGCAATTGCATAAGCCTGGGGGCTTGGGGTGGGGTTTTTGGGTTTTTTTTTTTTAGGAAACTAGGCTAATAAGGCAGATTGTCATCTTCCCTTTCAAAACTTAGCTCATCTACAGCACCATCTGCAGATGTGTCAGCCTGTCTCACAAGTGACTGAATCTCTCCTTTTTTCAGAATTTTTTTTTTTCTTAACTACTAAGAGAATATTTGTAGAAGGAGATCTGTCACCTCTGCTCTGATTGCAGAGGAAGGGGGGAAGCACAAGTCTTTTTCAGAGAGAATTCAGAGTATTTAATTTGAATAAACAAGGGAAAATCTATGAAAAGTGCCCTCATGTGATGGCATGATTAATAGTGTCCAGGCAAAGAGGCAGAACATTTTCTTTACTTCTCAGGAATCAGGTTTGCCTATGTTTCTGAAGGAAGTAGTATCACTGCTTCAGAAGTAGGGGAGCCAAAGCAGGTGAAGTAATTTGCCTGTCCTTGTGCCAGATGAAGAGACTGTTTGGTCTTCAGGCACTATACCTTCCTTCTTTTTTATTATTTCCAGTGCAGATGAGTACCTGACACATAGACAAAAAGGGCTAGATTTTCAAGTAGTTATTGTGCTCAATTGCTGCTTACCCTGCCTGCTTAGCACACTTGGTGGACTGTTTTAAAGTAGTTCTGTTCTGTTTTGTGACTGTATCATACTTGCATATATAATACTTCTTTTTCTTTTTTTTAATGTGTTGACTTCAAATCTCTGTTAAGGAATCTAACCTCAATTTTTTTTTTTATTAGGGCAAGTGTCGAGATTTTGAGACTATGCTGTGGTTTGAATCATTGCTGTTTTACGGCTGTGAAGAACAGGAGCAAGTGAAAGATGACGCTGATATTTCACTATTGCCTACCATTGTAGAGAGAGTTGTTCTTCCTAAATTAACAGGTATAGTCTTAGAAAGAAAATGGGGGAAAAGGAGTGTGTGTGGAAGCTGATGCTTGTTTGTGTTTTCAGATTTTACTGTTTTGTAAATTATTGCTTGACTGTCTTAGTACTTGTATTTGAGTATTTGCAAGGTATTTGAGTATTCTTTAATCTCTTACAGTGATTTCTGAAAATATATGGGATCCTTTTTCTACAACCCAAACATCTAGAATGGTAGCAATTGTACAGAAACTGGTAGATGGATATCCTTCAGTGGTGAATGCAGAAAACAAAAATACACAAGTAAGTTGTTTTTTCTTAAATTTCTTGCATAAGTTAAAGAATTTGAATATATTTTTAATACACTATATTGGAGAGCACAGCGTGCTTAGTGAGGAGCAAGAAAGAGAATTTTGCAGTTATTTGATACTCTGCAGCCTAGTTATGGAGAGTCAAGTACAGTAATAAATTAGGAGGGGGAACTTGGTGAAGTCTCCCCAAAATAGATGCTAGAGATAAAAAGAGATACCAAATGTACTAAGACGTGTTGGTCTGCAGTTTTGCTTTAAGGGTCAGCTACAAATAGTCATGCTTTTCTTTTTTAGATCTTTGTAACCTTTTCAAATGTATTGCCTTGAAGTTTGATTGTTTTACTTATCTTCTATGAATGCAAGAACCGGTGCCAGATTTCAGCTCTGCTAATTATTATAGGCTTCTCTAAGAGTTTATTTATATGTGTGCTTAAGTATGTATGCCTTTTACTGTTAGGGTCACAAATGTTCTTTGTTGCTTTGAAAATCAGTTTCTGAGTAGTTAACTACTAAGCAGTGCTTTGGACACTTTTAAAAAAATATTATCTGTTTCAGATGCTTTTAAAGGCATTGTTGCTAAGAATGAGGAGAACACTAGATGATGATGTATTCATGCCCTTATATCCAAAAAAGTAAGTTTGCTTTCAACTATGGTGTTAGACCTTCATTAGCAAGTCGGTGTCTTCTGTCCGTAGTTAACAGGGGCTTTTTTCCCAGTATGGTTCACTGGCTGGATACAGGAGATCTTTCGTTATCATGCTGTGAGGATTTAGCAAAGACAAGCAGGATGGAAGGGAATATTTATAGAAATGAACTGTGTGTGGGAAGGAGGAAGCCAGCAAACTCCAGACAGAGGTGGTCTTGGTTGCTCATTAAAGAAATCTCTTACTTTCCAGCATCTTAGAAAACAAGAACTCTGGTCCATATTTGTTTTTCCAACGTCAGTTTTGGTCCTCTGTTAAGGTAAGTCAGTAAATACATCCAGTAAATCTTTGGTCTAGACAGTGTAGCAATAAAATCCTCTTCAAATTTGTGGAAAGTGGTAGATGGAAATTGCTTTACCTTTATTTGAAAGAACTCTGAATTAGGATTCTTAGTCTTTGATAATGCACTGTGCCCTCTTCAAAAGACTGCCAAGTGAAAGCACCATCATTTTAACTTGTACACTGTGGGTTTACTTAGCATACTCAACCCTTTTTTTTTTTTAATGTCATTGTACCTGTCAGAATAAGACATGTTGCTTTTATTTCACTTATGTGGGAATGAGAGAGCTTGGTTTGTATTTTTTTACTTATATATAGTATGAGAGTCTTCATGAAAATAACTTGGCCCCTTACGGAAAGCTCACTGCTATTTGTAAAGTATAAGAGCATTTGTAATCTTAATTTAATTGAGATGATAGAGTGTGAAGGAAAAAGTCTGTGTGTGGAATGTGCACTATAGAGTTTGCAAAGGTCTGTAAGAAGCTATGACTGTTGTAGCTTATTTCCGATAAAAGGCTGTGAAGAAAATTAACTCCCAGCTAAACAGGAAAGTAAAGTATGAGACCATGTTGATTGAACTGCAGATCTCCATGATCACGCAAACAGAACTCTTATCTGGAATTTTCTATTTAAATTGCAGCAGTGAGGGAGGCTGTATTCTGAATAGGTTTGCAGTCACTTTATTTGCTTAAAATATTTGGCATGGAATTCTTTCACTTTGACATAAAAGTCAACTTCTTAAATGCTGTCTAGAGCAAAAAATGCACACAGCTCATTTATTAAAATACCGTTGTTAAAAGTGAAACAGGTCACTTATTTAGGGCTTGTGTCTCTTTTAAGAGTGAAATTGACTGCTTCGGGCAGTATCTGTCAGAGCCTGGGCAGTTTAGAAGTATGCATGCTGTTACCACTGTTTTATTTTAGGGAAGCATTAAAAATACAGCTCTCTTGCGCTAGCAAGTCAGTTATAGCATCACAGACGAGCAGAAATAGAAGCTGGGAGGCAAACGCTCCTTTACTGTTTCCTGATGATCTGCCTCAACAGTAAACTGCTGGCTGCGTGCATTTGTACGAGGCTGGCAGCAGTTCTCCCCAGGCCATGCGCCAGTGAGGAATGACAGCTGTACAGTTAGCTTAGGCAGCACTCCCCTGGGGGACGCTTTCTGCATCTCTTGTGTCACCGTGCCTTGGAAATGAGGGTATGCTGACAGCGTAGATGGGGATTTCATTGACAAGGGGGCTGCGAACTTGCCCCTGTGTGGCATATGCGAGAGAGAACAAGATGGCTTAAAACTTCAATTATTTTTTTCTGATTTCTTGTGCAAAACATGAGCAAAGTTGAGGTGGTGGTGGTTGTATGACAATTTATAATGCTCTAGGCTGGTACTTCGTGGATTCTGAATGGTTTTGAAGCTAACAGAAGGCATATTTCCACTGCTTACCTTGGTCGTGCTGTTGCATGTGAAGAGGCATGAACTTCCTGGTTTCAGTACGTTTTTAAATACTTATTTTCCCTGTGTTGTATTTTCAGTTATTAGGAAACTTTCTCCAGTGGTATGGAATCCTTTCAAACAAAACTCTCCAGGAACTGTCAATAGATGGTCTGCTAAACAGATACATTCTTATGGCTTTTCAAAACTCTGAGTATGGAGAGGACAGCATTAAGAAAGCTCAAAGTGTAAGTAAAATCATACAATGTTTAAAAGCACTTGTAATTCACAAATTTCAACTGAAGGAAAAATGTAGGTAAAGCTTGAGGTTACCTGTGAAATCTTGGCTTTGATTTCTCAAAGTTGTAATGTCAGTGAAAATTTTATTTCAGTTTATTTTATTTTTTAAATATACAAACTAAAGAAAGAACCTTCTCTGGCTCATACCTGTAGATAGTTTAGGTGTAGTGTAGCTTTTGGGGTTTTACTGCTTGAATTTTGGACTGGGTTTTTTTTGTTAGGGTTTTTTTGGGGGTTTTTTTGGTAGGTTTCTCACTGTTTCTCTCAATTCGGCCTTGTTACTGCAGTCCTACCTGGCAGACTTGACAAATCATGTCAGATAGCTTTTAAAATTTTGTTACATTGTGTTTAACTTTCTTTTTCCTGTTATGTCTAGGTAATTGCTTGCTTTCCTAAACAGTGGTTCGCTAATCTAAAAGGAGACAAGACTATTTCTCAGCTAGAAAACTTCTGTAGATACCTTGTTCATCTGGCTGATACAATTTATAGAAACAGCATTGGTTGCTCTGATGTAGAGAAAAGAAATGCGAGGTAACTTGCTTTGAGTTAATGCGGTTGCAATTTTTGTGCTTTGTGTCATTTTGCTGATGCATGCAAACGTGGGTAAATATCTCCATACTGCTGCATGTCTTTTGAAACTTCTTTGAATTTAAGCTTAAAAAATGTTACAGTATGGTAGGTGGGGAGATTTTTAAGGTGTCTGAAAACAGCAACTGCTGGAAATCTTTAAACATTCATAATATATTCTGCACTACTGCTTAGTGTCACTGATTCTGGCAAATTTTGTAGCTACTGGTTTTGGACTGTTCCACTTTGTGAGCCTGTTACCGATTCCTGTATAATGGCTTCTAAATTACAAACTGTGCTTTTGTATACAGCACAAAAGTTCTGACTTTATTTACACAACCAACTAGATGAACCTGTTTTCCCCTAGATCAAAGAGTCGTTTACTTGTATCTGGTAACCAGCATAATTAAAATTTTGGATTAAATCCATAAATGTTACTGCCGGCCAAGTAGCCTGAAATGCTATGGGTGTGTCGTTTTAAGCAATGATAAACTTAAAAACCAAATGTTGCACTGATACGCAGGAATATAACAAGACTGGAAGATGGTTTATTCCTGTGCTGTTGCATGAGAAGGAAAGGTTTTGAGGTCAATAGTTCTGTTGTTTCAGCAAACCTGAAACTTGGAAAGACGAACCCCCTTGCTACCTGCGTTAGTCATTCTTGATAGCTGAACTTGCTTGAGCCTTTGTTGAGTTACTCTTCAATTATTGAGGCTCTCCGGGGGGTTAGATCCTTCTCCCTTTTTGATCTTATGCATAGCACTGAAACATAGAGACAGAAGTTTCCCTTAAACTGTAGCAGAAAAATCTTGGTTAAGAGGTTTTTGGTGTTTTTTTCTGGTACCAATTTTTTTTCCAGTTACCACGTTGGTTATTAGACACTTTTCTGTCTTTAGAGTCACTTTTGGCTGTGGCATAGGAATCATCTCATTTTCAGAGGACACCGAGCTTTGTGTCACACTGGGTTGTGCTCAAATAACTTTTTATCTGCTCTCGGGTTATGCCTCAGAAGTTTGCATCCAAAGTATAATAGTAGGGTCACATACCAATTTAAGTTTCCCATGATTCAAATTCTAAATAGACTTGTTATTCCTTCCTTTCTAAAACCAAAATGCCTAGCCTGGCATGATACTGGAATTGAAATGAAGGAGTTGAGAGAGAATCCAGTAGAGATTCAGCTTTCTGTCTTTTGGTAGCCTGTTTCTAAATTTGAAAGAACTTTCTTTACCAGCTGAAATGATAACTTGATAAAACTTTTGTATTGGAAAAGAAACATCCAATTAATCCTTTTTTTCATAGTGAGCTCTAATTTAATTTCTTATCTTCTGTCCTCCTGCTTTTTCCTGGCATTTAACAAATCTGTTGCCATTGCCCCCATTAAGCAGATAAAATAAGTCTGCAGCATAAATATTACTTTTTATAACTGAAGAATGTCATGTCTTTTCATATAAAACCTAGTACAGTTGTTTGAAACAAAAATGTGTTAATTTCTGCCGAGAGGGAAGTGCATCTTTACCGATGTCTGTTGGTGCTAGTTTTCCAAATGTTGGATGCTTTTTCACAGACCACTAGGTTCATTTTTAAGATTAATTTTGAACTTCTAGTATTTTTTTGAGAGACTGGTCTAAATTTCATGTCCATACTCCTAGCAAGATACCAAAATTGTTCTTGACAGCTGAAGAAGTACAGTCCTCCTAGCAGTTTGTTCACTCTGAGCTTCCTAGATTGACCTGAATTGTAATGCAGTTCACTGGTGGTAAACTTCATACCTTTTTAAAGCATACATTAAAGCATACTTTCTGTCTTGGGTTTTTTGTTTGTTTGTTTGTTTTCCTGGCTTAAACATTAGTTACCAAGAGCTGTGACTCATTGCACAGTACCATAACTAATCCAAGACTTTTTTTGAGATTATACTGCAACTAGTTATTAAACCATATTGTATGATTAATTCCTACTCCCAAAATAAATTTTTCAGTTTCGGCACAAAGCTGATAACCAGCTTCTTTTATCAGACTAAGCAAGTGGAGGAGCAGATGATGTGAAGTTATCTGAAACGGATTTGCTGTATGGATTCATAATGTAGTCTTCTGTTGAAATATTAATACTTGTACACGATTGTGCCTTTCCTGTATTGACTTCTCCTTCCTCTTTTTTAGGGAGCACATAAAGCAGATCATAAAGCTTCTAGCAAGTATCCGAGCACTGGATCATGCTGTGACAGTTGCGAATGATCACAATGTAAAAGAGTTAAAGATTTTAATAGAAGGAAAATAGATTTTTCCAACAACTCATTTTGAGCTTTAAAACCATTCCTGATGTGTAATTTATGTACATATGTAAAGTTTCTTAAACTGTAAAGTATTGATCTTTGTTTTAATACAAAGTGCATTCTTATATACAGCATCCTTAAAAAAAAAAAAAAATTGACTTTGAAAACAAAAATGGAATCCCAAGATTGTCATCTTTACAGAAATCAGATTTTCCTTAAAGTTTCTCAAAATCTTGTTTACAAAAATACTTTGTACCCATGATTAGTAGTCATCTACTCCTGTTAATTGTTCCATGGTTAACTGGAATGTGTATAATATATTATGTGTAATACAATGTATGCATTGTATACCACCATGTTGCTTTCACACTGGATATAGAGATCTTGTACTGTTGGAATAAGCCTTTCATTTGCTAAAAAAATACTTATTTTGACAATAAAATGATCATTATTGGTCAAAAGGGCTGGCAAAACATTCAAATATGTGAAAATCACTTGAGCTAAAGAATAGAGACACTTTCAAATGGAACCTGACCATTAAAAAGCAGCTGTGCTGCACTCAAATTGGAATAGTTAAAAATTATTTGCATTCAGAATATGGAATTCTTAAGACTGTTCTTAGAAACAAAACAGAAAGGAAAACTCAAATCAATGCTTAATTATTTTTTTTAATACAGGCATACAATGAGAAATTGTGATTATTACGCAGATACACGTGACAGCACTTCCTAAGCCCCAAACACCTTTCATTTTGTAGGAGTAATAGTTTACCCATGGACTCTGGACCCTCGTTCCTTGTGCAAGTTGGTTAAATTCACTGTTTGTGTCTTTTGGGGTTTTTTGCTGTTGGGGGCGGGGAGGGGGTGTTTTTTTGTTTTGTTTTTGGGTTTTTTTTGTAACTTCATATAAGGAACCTGTTTCTTCTGATTGGTATGGCTAAAGATGTCAAGCAAAATGAAGGTGAAGAAAATTTTACATCCTATGATTTGAAGTCTTTATATTGTAGTAAATACTCAAATGTTACACTTCCCACTAAATACCATCTAAGAATAGTCTTGCCAAAAAAAGCATTTAAGTTAAATGTAAATTAAAAAGAAAACACTTCCAGAATATGATGATTTCCATCAGAACGCTAGCAACTTGATCGTGGAGTCTAAGGCATGGGAACAGCTGTAGTAGCCTTGGATTAAGAACTATTTCCAGGTGTGCCCTACTTTTTTGGGGAACTGTAGCAATAAATTGGCATACTGAATAACATAAATCATTGTATTTTATGCTCATGTCATGTGGTATAAATGAGTATATTTAAAATGTGCAGTTTGTAATATGCACACTTCATTTGGACACTGAACAATTGTTTTTCTGAACTGTTGGGATTGATGGAGTACATTCAGAAATAACTGCTTTTAAAAATCGTTTCAATAAACTCGTCTGTCAAGGAGCTGTTGCAGTGCAACTTGGTAAGCTTTATTCCTTTAGGAAGGTGGTAAAGGAAATGATATGTCTTTAATATGTCAGAAAGAAAAAATCATCCTTAGAAGGTGAATTTTTAGAGTGAACAAAAGTCTCTTTACTTTGAAAATGAAATAGGATAAACACTGGAATTCATATACTTACATAAAGATCGGTTAAGATATTTCAAAAGATTATCCTGCTGGTAGTTATGTGATTTAATAGTGACAGATTTTACCTTTTACGTGCTTAAAATTTTACTGATTTTAGTATTCTGTTAGACTGAAAAGGACACAAATAATCCATGCTACCAACGTTTCTAAAAGACAATTTATTTATACTCAAGTGACTTAATCATCAGAGAGATGCAAAGTTGCAGAATGTTTGGTTGAGAGAGGGAGAAGGGAGGGGTAATAAAAAATATGCAAAATGAGATTTTTTTTTTATTTTTTTTTTCTCACAAGGAGGAACAATCCTGTACAGAGACTTCTCTGCATCTTAACGCATGCCTGCCTTCTAGTCGCAGGATCTCCAGGGTGAGGATGCATAGTTGAGACACCTTTTGTACAGCCTAGTTTGGCTACTCTTTCTAGTCTAGCCACTGCAATATAAAGCTCAGTGAGGGTTAACTTCCTGGCTTTAGGATAAAGTCCTTAACACCGGCTTTTATGCTACAACAAAACTACTGCCGGTATTCAGAAGAGCTGCTACCCTTACCCCTGTGATTGTATATGTGGTTTTTGGGGGGTGGGTATATTCTGTGGACAGAATAAAATATGCTCAAGCACTTCTAAGACCTGTGCTGCCAAGTTAGGTTGGTTGCCCAACTGGATAGTTAGTGTTACTGTTTGCAAATGAACGTAAACATCTAATATTACTGCAGGGGTGAAAATGTACTTTATTTCTGTTTGGATATTTTAGACAATGGAATTCCTTCAACTGAAATTACTGAAAGAGCTGCAGAAATTTAGAAGCCCGTCCTCTCTGAATATATTAACATAAGTGCGCATTGCGTAGTGTCAAATTCGTTCAGAATCACTGAGTAGCAACCTCAAATGCCAAAGCTTTTCACTAGTTTTTCCATATTCAGAATGTTGACTGCCATCTAATACCGAAGCCACAAGGTGGCAGATTCAGATTTCAGTACTGGAAAATAATGGAAGTACTTGACCAGGAGGTGTCAGAGTTTGGATTTTCAATTACAAAATTTTTCAAACGCTGGGGGTAATAAAGCTAGAGAGTGCAGGAAAAGGGTTGGAGTCGACTGTTCTCTTCTGGTGCCAGGTGCCTCTGTCGAAAAAGGTGGCCTGTTGACAAAAGGTGGCCAGCAGTAGTCTGTCTGCGCTGAAAGCCGCCTTCAGCCTCGCTCTGCTGTCCAGCCGGTCTCTGTGGTGGTGGTGTGCTGAGCTGGGCTAATAAAGCAACAGTAACTGGATTTCTTTTGGAAATCAGGTTTATTCACACCCTACTGCCTCCCTGGGAAGAATACTTGTAGTGAGTCTTTCCCTTGCTCTCCCTGGCTGTAGTTCAGGGAGGAGAAAAGCTACAGGTTCAAGCCATCAGCTATCATCTCAAACTTTGCATTTCTTCTCAGTGAAAATATATAGATCTATAACTACAAAACTTAATGCAGGTTTGTAACTGCAGCTTCAGTGGGTGTGCACACTACCAATGGAGCTCCAGACTAGTGGAGCAGCAAAGCTCAGGACATTTATTAAAAATACAGGCATTTTGCTCCCCCTGGGATCATGACTAGGACTGTAAGGGAGGGAATGAGGAGAATATCTTCCCTGTAACCTCATTATAAATTATAGCTACAGAGAATCTTTTTTTCAAGATAGCCTGTAGTCATTTTGCTAATTAACTGCTGCAGAAGACCAGTTACTCATATTACACTTAGCCCGTCCTCCCTCTGCTCCAACGACAGCACGTGGCTGCGGTGTCTAAGCCCTCGCACGCCTGAGGAGTTTCTCCCTCCTGTCCCCATACAGTGTCACATTTGGAGAACAACAGCATGAAGAAACTTGCAGCAAAGTATACTTGTGGGTGATAAGTAATCTAACTTCTCATTTTGGGCAATGTGGCGCCTTTCCTATGTATAAATGGTTAGAATTGTATAGGCACGTAAAGACTTTATGTAAATAAATGTCACCCAATTTTACTTATAAACAAAATAACCACTTTCACATCTACTACTTCACCTGTATCTCACTTATTGAGGCAAATTAAATGCTCCTAGCAAAGTGGTCATACTTTACGTCATGATCTTTAAACAATGTTACACAACTACTTCTTGGTTGAGGTATAATCCAAGGACAACTGCTTTAACGTTAGCCTCCCACAGTTTACCCCGTGTATCTCACTGTTCACTATCAAAATTAACAAATAATTATAACATGTTAAGAGACCGATGTCCTAGATGATGATGAAATCCCATGTGAGAAGGTACTAACACATGAAGTGGCATGGCCATCTTTCTGCTGCTCAGAACTCCGCAGGGACTCGTGAGAAAGTCTAATAACCTCTTCAGCAGTTAGCGTTGTTTAGGAAAAGGAAAAATGTGGAACATGTAAGAAAAAATCGCATGTAAAATTGTCGGTCATTGACATTTTTATGAACAGGGTAATATATTACAGAATTATTACAGTTATTTAATTATTATAATTGTTTTATTATACAGTTATGTATGATTACAGTTACAGAATTACCTTTACCCTAAAGGTCACCAATAGCAAAGGGAAAACCTTGTCCTTTGCTATAAAGGAAAACAAAGTGAAATCTGAAATGTGAAATGGAGAAGTTTGAGGAAAAATTGTGCAGATGCAGGGAGCCACGTGATTCCTCTTTCTCCTCCTTTCAGATACATCTCATTTTCTGCAAGTTCGTTAATCAGTGGTTCTGCTTTCAGTTCTCCCTAAGTTACCCTACAAAAAAGGCATTTTTTTAGAAAGAACCCTAAATATATATACTGGGGGAGGCGATATGCACCTCCAGTGTTGATGTAGTGTACAGCTTTGGTACAATGACTTGGTGAGGTTTGTTTTAACAGGCGGAACATCCTCTTATGTGTGGTGGTGCTTAAAAGCAGCATCCCTGTCACCTTAGGTTTACGAGTTGCCCAGTGAAAATTAAATGTCCTGGGATCAGTGGTCTAAAAGGAAATAACAATACCTATGATCTGACCATTAGGCTTTACCTGTGAAGTCACAGGCAAACCATTCCTGCAAGAGTCAGTAGTGGCGCGTACAGAAAGGAGAACTCTGAGGAGGCTTCAAAAATGGTTGTCGCAAGGAGGGAGGATGGTTGTGGTTTTTTGAGAAACTCGCACGCAACCAACAGGATGGATCAGAGTTGAGTGGTTTTGCCCTGTGTGTGGTACATCAGACATAAAACTTTGGTAGCCTTACAATTGTTAGTTGAATTACTCTCCCTGCACCATGAAATAATGTAGGATTTTTTTTCGAAGAGTACTTAATTTCTGTATATAACGAAAACTCTTGCCCTAAAAAAATGAATGGGGATGAAATAATTGCATGGAGACAAACTTAATAATACAAGGGCCTGCAATTTAAGGCTCTGCTCCAAACAATGACTTAAGCATATGGTTTTGTTCAAATATGTGAACTGTCCCGTTGACTCCACTTGCGTTACTTTTGTGCTTTATGTGCACAGTTAAATATTTTCATAGAATCACAGAATGCGTTGCGATGGGAGGGACCTTTAAAGGTCATCTAGTCCATCCCCCCTGGAATTGGCAGGGACATCTACAACTAGATCAGGTTGCGCTAAGTCCCATCCAGCCTGTCCTTGAATGTTTCCAAGGATGGGGTATCTACCACCTCTCTGGGCAACCCGTTCCAGTGTTTCACTACCCTCATTGTAAAAAATTTCTTCTTTATATCTAGTCTAGTTTTCATAGAGCAGAGACCTGGAGTGAAGCACAGATGTATCTCCAAGATTTGGTGCAGTATTTTTCTTACATGCTTAAGCCCAAATTTCCATAGCCTAGATTTCATACAAGTTCTTGAGTATTGTCTGTTTACTGTTTTTTGTGATAACCTAGCTAACAGAAAACATTAAGCAGGATGTAGGTTGTGTGACT